TGTAACTGAGTAGCAAATGCGTTTCGTATGTTTCTTTTGCACTTTATATGATATTTTCATAGCATTCTCAAGCCATAAAATCAATTGAAACACTTTACATTTTTATAGCAAACGGCTTTTATGGCGTCGTTTCTTGATGAGAAATGAACACACATTTTATTGGAAGAAATATTGATTATTAACTTGATGTTCATTTCGTATATCGTTAAACTAAAGTAAATAATTTTGTGAGATTTTGTATTTCTGCTATGCTATTAAGTTAAGCACCAATCAAAAATGATAAGATAAGATTAATTAAAGAAATGCATTTTCTTTGTTTAAATTTGTTTAATATAGTTTCTTTATTATGTATTCAGATGTATTGAAACATTTTTAGTAATTGTCGATAGTCATATAGATCCTAGACTCTCAGGAATCACTCCTCATGAAAGAATGCAGGATACCTGATTGAATGATGACTGGAAGAACTCAATAAGTGGGGCTTTCTAACAATATATTTTTCGTATAGTTGGCCATATCCCAATATTGTTAATTGATGTAAAATAGCCGATGGTAAGGGGCGCTCCTCATAAACTGGATATGCATTACCTTCTCCTCCTGTCTGCTGATTATTACCATTTACATCTATTGAAATTAATGGTTGTCCTTCAGTTGTGATTTCTATTGGGTGTTCAGCTTCTTCTGGTGGTTTCACTTCAGTAACATATGGTACTGCAGTTTCGTCTATTGTTGATTCTGTCCGGCTGGGTGCTTCTGATATTATATCTGTCCCTTCTGTAAATGCCTCTGTTGTTTCTGTCACCTCTGTAAATGGCTCTGTTAATAATTCCACTGTTGATTCTACATTAGTTGTTTCAGTTTTCGGCTCTTCTGTTACTTGCTGTCCTATATATATGGGTAATAACACGGGACTTACAATAGAAATGGGTAATACAACCGGATGTGGATTCAACTCGCGTGCTGGTGTAGGTCGGTTTAGTTTGTTGAAACGTTTAATTACCAAATTTACTTCTTTTCGAAGTATGTATAAGTTGGATCTCTCGAGCCAGGTCAACAAATCATAATACTTTTTATGGTACGCATCGAGATATAATTTTAGGCTCTTAAGACATTCTTTTAGAAACTCTGTCTCATCATATTTCAGCCCATCGTTCTCCCAAGAATTCTCTCTGTGATTTTCATATAATTTATATACCGATTCTAGGACACTTTTCAAGTACGGTTTCTTTCGGATGTTCCAGTAATAAGCTACCAGTGGTCCATATACATGAGCTTGACTTTGTTGTAGAAGTGGTGTTAAATTTGGGTACGGCTCAGGTGTGAATGCATTATGTGTTAATTGTTTTAGCAGAGACGTCAATAAGTTTCCCTGATACTCCCCGCTTGGCTTTAATTCACTCTGATGAGAAGTAGCTACGATGGCTTTATATAGCTGATGTATACCCTCTCGGATAGTATTGAAATTTCTTTCCTGTTGCTTATTCAAAGAATGTGGATTCCGTCGTGAATGAGCCTTGAGATATTTAGATAGTACAGAGAGGCTTTGCCTTAGCAACTCCGCTTCACTTTGTTTTTTTGGCCTTTTAAAGATTCTCTTATTATGGCGCTCTATTCCTTTCCATCGCCTCAAAATACCATATGGATCTGGGCAATCTCCTTCCTCTAGAAGCTCTAACAGTCTTTTTATATCTGTAGGATACGGGTATGGATACGGATATGGATATGAATTGTCATATCATTGTCATTATCGTCTGTATTGTTGCTTACCTTCAACTTTCCTATCGTCGATAAAAGCCAATCCGGAGGAATTATTAAAAGCCGAATCATACGATGACTTTTTCACAGAAACACTACCAGATGCGTCATTGGCAGAAAAAAACCCATAAACTAATTACAGTATTTTTAAGTATACATTGGGCTGGAATTATGCTGGAATTACTTCAAAGTACTTACAGAGGATTTGGAAGAGTAAGAACGTGCTGAGAAACATCGTTGCCGTTGTTTGAGATCAGACTCCGGTTATTTTAATTGGTATTCTTGGTTTTGTACCCTTCGCTGGATTAAAGCGTGTCTGTTTATATTTGCTATGAAAGGTCGATTTAATGGTTAGTTAATATTTGAGATGGATGTAATTAAATTAGTGAATTCGGTATGCTAACCCCATTCGTCATGTGTTTGCATATCTTATATAAGCTTTCGTATTCCCAAGTGTCCTTGAATGTCACGTTGAGTCACAAATGCTTCATTCTCTTCTGATCTCCAACATCACGCATTCGAGTCAATCGATTAAGCGATAGCCCACGAAAGCTACAGCTGAAGCATTAACTACATATGTGCATACATATGTATATCGATATTTCAAGTTTGTTTGTTTCTGAAAATATAACATGCGGGGCATAGAACCTGAGATCAATGCGCATATTATATGTATATATCTCTGTTAATCGATTCTCATGAAATTGAAAAATTCCCCGATTGCGACTTAGATCTTAGAAACATTGGGTAGTCAGTCAGTATTACACTGTGCACAGTGTAAGGGCTTGGACTACCTCGCTACTGTTGTCTCTTAATTCTTAATCGATTGATG